AAGGCAGGGTCTACCTAGTTTAGTGGCTGGAACATTCATCCATCCACACATCCATCTACCCATCCACTCATCAATCCATCTTTCAACAAATATCCACTGAGCATCTATAACGCACCAGGCATGGGCAGGGCCCTGAGAATACAGTGTTGTGCTAAAACAACCCCCTCAGTACTAACAGTCTGGTAGTGAAGACATAAGCTAGTGAAACACTTACATGTAAATGACCCATATATTACAAGGGAGTTCTGCAGGTGCCATGCGAGCCAATGGTGGGCAGATTTGACCTGGTGGAGGAGCTGGGCGGCTTCCCTGGGGAGGGAACCCACAGCCCTGGGTATAACAGCATGGCAGACACTGCTGGTTGCCTTTTCCCCTTTGCTTTTGTTCACAGAGCTCAGTTTTGTCAGCTGTTATAAATAGTCATAAATATTTGGCCCAAACTATTGAAAGTCCAATACATGAACTAATCTGATCCAGTTTTCTGGATCTTTTTCTAGCAAGCAAAAGCCACTGGCATGTTTCCCACTGCAGACTTAGAGATTTGGGACCCAGGAAAACAGTACTTGCCTGTGTCTTGTGCATAGGAAAACAGATTCAGGAAGTCTGGTGCCGAGGCTGCCATGAATACCATTCCCTTTTTGCCATTTTCTGGATATCGGCATTTGTCTAGAAGGGGTCTTTTAAGAAAAGTCATATCAGTGTGCTCTTTCTAGCCACAAGTCCACCTTGCCCTCTTGCTTGGCAGCTTGCATGGGTCACTGGTAATTAAGAGTCCATGAGGCTGCGAGGGGCTCTGTCATTGGCTTGGGGTTGAATACAAGCTGGAGTCATGATCCAAGGCAAGTTCACACCCTTTGGGGCTGACATATGTGGGGATTTGGACAGGTACAAAATAACCTTCATCACTAGAGAGAGATGACACGAGCCACAGAGGGTGTGGGACGAGAGTGTTCCAGAGCTGGTTCTGCCAGTTACCAATTGATCAACTGTGGCACATCTCTTTCTCTGAGTGTGAATTTCTTCTACGAGAAAGTGACAAGAGAGTATGTCTGCCCTGCTCTTCTCAGCCAATTATTGGGAGGCTGAGCTGGATTAATATGTGAAATGCTCCACACGATGGCAAGCACTGTGCAGGCACAAATCACTGTTATGACTAAGGGATGACAACAGCTGCTTGGATCCACCATGTCCCCCAGACTCTCTGGAGGTGTAATTCCAGATGGAGAAGTTATTCCTTTTCCCTTGCATGTCTTTTGATTTGCGAGTCCCAGCTCTAAGTGGACTCTTGGATAGTGATGGGATGCCTTATGCTACTGGGAGCCCAGTGACTTCTGTGTGTGAGTGATGTGCTGAGCCCTCTCAGCTCAGGATCTGGGATAGGGTCTCTTGCTTCAAAAGGAGCCCACAGAATTGAGGGGCCATACAATGGAGGAAATGGGGCCCAAAGCTGACCCCAGTCACTCCTTTATTCGCAGGTGTCAACATAGACAGCTCTGTGACAGAGTGGATGCATCTTTGGTCAGGGTTGGGCCCTTGGCAAAGCATACAAAGTTTGCCTTTCATCCCCCTTCACCTTCCCTTTGGAATTTTGTTCCTTCTACTCTTCTCTATTCCTCCCTACCTAACTGGTGATTTTAGGCTTCCTCTCCAAAACTCCCCATCACTAGTAACAGCCTCAGGTACTGCCTAATGAAACTTTCTATGATGATGAAAATGTTCCCTATCGGCTCTGTCCAATATGGTAGCCACTAGCCACATGTGAACATTTGAAATGTGGTCAGTGTGACGGAAGAGCTGAATTTCAAAAGGTAAAAGTTATTTATTTTCAGTAAACTTACATGTAAATTGCCATGTAGGGCTAATGGTTAGTGTATTGGACAGTGCGGGTCTGGAGCTCAAGACCTCCATCATTTCAATCTCTCTGCAGCAATCTAATGAACTTGTCCTGTGTCTGAATTCCAAGGCCTTCGTCTTAGAGAAGTACTAATAAGCTACTCTGATAAACAGATTCTTATTCATAAATTAAGGTCTTACCATTCTAGGTCAGTGCATAGGTTTTGAGCAATGCCATACATTAGTCAAAGCAGAGGCTCAAATGATAGGCGTTTGAAGGACTCTGGCAGGCAAACATGGAGGGTGAAAAGATTACAGGCATAGAGTTTCAGTCACACTTCAAAGCACACTCTGTGGAGGGCACATTCCACCCCCCCCCACTCCTCCCCACTCCCATCCCCAGTGTCCTGGGCTGTTTCTAAACTCCCTTGCAGTCTGGAAAAAGTTAAGGTCGGAGTCGGGCGGATGGGAGCTTGGGAAAAGGCTGGAGGTGGAGAGTTGGAATAGGCAGAGCCCAGAGGATGCCAAGCTCTTGCTAAGGAGCCTGGTGTGCCAGTCCGAGTGGTGTTCTGTTCCACCCTCAGGAGGAGGTGCCAGGGAGAGATTGTTAGGGAGGTCACTGGGACAAGAGCTGACAAATCAATCATATGAAGTATCAAGACTCCACTTTACCGATGGAGAAACCAAGTCATATGGCTTTCCTCTGTATGTATTACAGTAAAATGGGATCTGGACCCACTGAGACATTGGGACAAGTCAAAGAGACCAGACACCAGATTAAAGGCCACAAAATGGACAGTGGCACTTTTGGTGGAGTCTTGGCCAGGAACTGCGATTCTAGGCTTAATTATAATCCTCTCTTTTAGGGAGATTTCCCCCTCTTAATTCCTTTATGAACATTGCTTTCTGGTTGTTCTTTTCACCCTGAAACTGAGCTGCATTTTTGTTTCTCTTGGATGACCATGTAAGTGTTCTTGAATTCTTGCCTGTGTTTTCACAGATACTCATGGGTATCAGAGGCAGTTTTTCAAACCAAACACTAGGTTGAGTAAGGGGTGGAGGGTTGTGGGCGGTGGGTGCAGGGAAGGGAGATCGACGAGGGAGAAAAAGGCACACGTGCAGATGAGCAGGAAATGCGTATACCAATCCTAGCACTTTGGGATTTACTCTCGGGGCCTCGGCTCACCAAATGGTACCACATGGTAGATCTGCTCCCACAACCTCTCCTGCTCTACACTCTCCGAGGAATGGGGAAAGGGATTTCCAGTTAAACCACTGCCAAGAATGGGTGCCTATTTGTTTAAAAATATCAAATTTTACGAAGTAATTGGAGACCGAGTCCCACATCTTTAGTGCAATAATGTGGTCCATAAAATAAAGAATAGCCGCCAACCCCCCCTGGTGCTTTGCAACACAGTTCAGACTACACTATGCTTTTCTGGACCTCTCTGCCTTCACGAATGGAAGGACTACTCACAGTATTCAGTGCTACCCTGTTCTTCTTTGTTTCCATTCCGTTCAAACAAATCCTCCGAGGCATTTGGCATCAAGGGGCAGAAACGCAGAGAGGTTGGTTGTCTGGCTAGGTTGGCTCACCAGTGGCAATGTTACCAAATACTCCTGGGCAGGCTCTATTATGCCACAGGGTCCTTCTGGGCCAGAGCATTTTGGCCACTTCTGTCTGAATACTCTACATTTCAGTCCATTTGCATGAAAAACAGAAGTTCTTGTTGGACTGAGGTAACTTAGAGTGGTGGTGGTCCACGGGGCTGATTGTGCTCCCCCCTCCCCGACCCAGGGGACATTTGGCATTATTTTCTTATCACTACTTGGGGGACATTTTGTCCTTCCTGGAACCTTAGGCAACATCTGGGGACATTGCTGAGTATTACAAGTATGGTGGGGTGCTGACCTACTGGCATTGAGTGAGTAGAGATTAGGGATGATGCTAAGATCCCAGGGATGAAGAGCCTCCATGACAAGGAATGATCTGGCCCAGAATGTCAACAGTGCTCAAGCTGAGACTCTCTGGGCCACAGGGAAAGCTCAGGTTTGGTTCTTAACATTGAAGTGCCCTATGACCCTGAAAAGGCTATCACTTTTTCAATTTTGGAAGACTAATAAATATCCTGGGTGGCCTCAGGAAATCCTAGGACAATTTTGGCCACAGTTCTCTTCTACCAATGACCCAGTCAGTTTCATATCTTCAAGAGTCCTTAACTTCTTCTGAAAGAGAGAGTGCGTTCTCAGGGTTACACAGTCACATTGGTCTCAGTGGGTCTAGATCCCATTTTACTGTAGTATATACAGAGGAAAGCCATATGACTTGGTTTCTCCATCGGTAAAGTGGAGTCTTGATACTTCATATGATTGATTTGTCAGCTGGGCCTGGCATCCTAGGGAGATGGAATGGGGGCATGGTATTTGAGTTGGGATGAAGGGGGGAAATGTGAGTTAAGTACTTCTACCCAATTCCAACGCCAAAACAGCAAATAGGGCAATGTCAAAATGGCAATAGGATACTGTAAGTAGGGGAGAGGCAATCAATAGTTTGTGAGATCCCAGCCAGCAGATTGTGCCTGGGACGCAGTGGGCCATGGGGCCATGAAATGATTTTGCTTGCCAGTGGTAGAAGAAGAAGATCCAGGGCCTATCACATATGAGTCTTGCCATGAGGTCTGTCACTGGGCTGGGAGGATGGAGACACGAAGCAGTGATGACATTAGGGTGCTGAGGGGGGCACAGAAAGCTATGGCAAAAATTTACATAGAGCTGCTTGGGAAAATAAGAATAAACAGTATTTCTTTTCTTGATTTGAAAGTGACACAATCATTGTTGAAAATCTCTCAACTATGGAAAAAACATAAGAAGAAAATAAAAATCTCTCATTATTGCACCACTAAGAGATGTCAGCTATTAATAGTTTTGGTATTTCCTTTTAGAAAAACAGAACGTTCGTCTGAGCAGGACAGGCTGGGGAGACTGAAAAGGTCTTTGAGAACAGCAGAATGAGACAATGTAGACACTGACCAGTTTGGAAGTATTTTTTCTCTGAGCCAAGATAAGTGAGTCCCAAGACAGGCGAGTCCCCGTCCTTGCCTGGTTGAAATGGACAGCAGGACAGACGGGCGGTGTGACAGAGGGACATGTGATCAAGTTCCCCTTACCTTCAAGGTTCATGTGGAAAGCGTCTGTAGTGTTCACCTCCATGAATAGAAGGGTTCTTTAGCTGAAAGAGAAAATGACTCATTTTAGCTGAAGGATGACAAAGAGGAGAGATCATTTCTGACTCACTTAACAGCACCAGCATGACTGCATTCGATAGCCCTCGTTTTTTGGAATTAGTTTCTTGGCAATTTTATTATGAAGTAATTTCAAACTTATAGAAAAGTTGCAAAAATCATAAAAAAAGAAAATCCCATAAACCCTTCACTCGGATACCCTAACAGGTAATACTTTACCATATTTATCACTTTCTTCTCCGTATACACAAATTGTTATTTTTCTGAATCACTTGAGAATAAGTTGCAGTCGTGATGCCTCTTAACCCCTAAATTTTTCAGTATGTTTTCCTAAGTACAAGGGCATTCTCTTACCTTAAGAGTGTGATGATTAAAATCAGAAAATTAACATCGACACAGTACTACTATCTATCTAATCCATAGATCTTACTCAAATGTTGTCAATCATCCTAATTGGGATTAGATTTGATGAAATTTGGTCCTTGAGACCTTGAGTGAAGTTTATTGACAAATCCTATCACAGTCGTGGCTGAATTCGGGCATTTGGCCACGCTCACTTGAAGCTCAGATTTGATGCTGTCTCATGGGTTCACATGAGCGTTGGCCGAAGAATGCTTTTCCAAGTGGGACTAACTTTTGGTGAGGATAAGGTTGTTCACTGCGCTGTTGGGTGTGGGCTTGTGTCACTTGGGCCGTGCCCACTGGAAATCACAGTTCCCACTTTGCTCCTTCCAGTATACCTGCTCCGGGTTTTGTATAGGACGTTCTCAATTCTGGGAACTGACTGGCCTCAGTCTGGGAAGCACAAGGTGACAATTGCCAGTAGTATGGCTCTGAATTAGAACAAAAATGATTTTTGGCCCCTCTATGCCTGCAGTTCCTTTTTAAAATTTGCTTTGATATATGGACAGCAATTCCTAATTCAGCGCCCAACTTAGTCTTGTGCATTCCATGCTACAATAATCTAGCTAGAGTAGCGGACCAAACAATGCCTTCAAATAAGTTCTGTATCTTCAAAATTCGGAATCCTTAGGACTATCCCTTGTGGAATCAAGTGTTGAATACTCTCCATGCTGACTCAACTGATGGAGGAGAGAGTGACAAGCGGGGCCACTGAGGACGTCTCTCACACACCCCACTATCTCAGCATTACCACTACTGGCAAAGTGAATGGAGAGCCCAGACGTCTTTGCAACAAAAGCCTAGGATGTGTTGAGATCCATTTGGACATGAAACAGCCAGCTGCAAGGCACTTGATGATGAGGCGTCTGGCAAATCCAGAGCCCGTAACACAAACGTCCGGGGCAGCTTTCTCAAAAGCCACCAATTTCTCTCCATACGGTACAGTGATGCTGAATTTTTTGTTTTTTAAGACTCCGAACATTCTAGAATGCATTTTAGATTCTGAGAATAATTTCAGGACTTAAAGCCCTCTCTTTGATAATGTCTTAGCTCTGTTCAGAAGAATCCAGACTCCTTTTACCCTCTTGCAGGAAACCCTGAGGGGTCAGCCGAGGCTAGGGAAGGGTGCAGAGGGTGTGGAGCACAGGGAAAGCCGTCCACTGGGGGTAGCAGTGATGACTCTGGGACAAGAGACCATAAAAGAAATCACGGCCCCAACACTCATTTCTGCAGTTCAACAAACATTAACTGAACGACAGGCTTTGGGCTCACTTCATTCATCCATCTGTTTATTCATTCAGCATTTATTAAGTGCCTGGCACATCATCTAGCCCTGTCATCCTCTGCCCCAATGCTGCACCTCCTGTCAGTCCTGCCCTGTGCCTTGTGGAGGTGACTCCGGTGGCTCTCGCCCTTCAGTTTCAGCTTGGGCTCCACCCACAGGAGGCAGAAGGTGGGGGTAGAGCACATTAGCGTAGGATTTCCCTCCCTCCCTGCCTTCCTCGTGGCTTGGTCTTGGCAGTGGTTGTCCCTCTACTACCACAGCTCCAGTGGGGCAGCCCTTCTTCCATGGCTCCAGCTATCACCAGGTCCCAGCAAAATCCCTCCCCGCCATCCCCTTCTGTGGAGAAAGGGTGGTGACAAATTCCCCTGTTAGTTCTCTCAACCTTGCCCACAGGTATGTCAATGGGCTCTTGATTATATTCTCTTAAAAATCCTAGCTTGAGCATATCATCTTCTTCCTGTCTGACCCTGACCAATGCAGCCTATTAATATGTGCTGAATTGTTTTCAGATTGCTCTGGACAGGCCGGAAAGATGTAAAGTTTTGGATATAGTTTCTAACACTAAGCTACGACAGTGCAGGGTGGGGAGGCAGAACTTAACAGAAGCTCCTGGGGAAAATAATCTCAGAGATGTAGTCCTTTATACACTCTAGGATTACATGTCAGTCAAAGATCAACCTAATCTCCGGCCACATCATTAGAAGTATGGTATCCAGGACAAGGGAGGTGATATTGTGCCTTCATTCTGCCTCCATTAGCTCCCATGTACAGTTCTAGGCACAGATATATTAATTGTAAGTGTTTCAAGACTTGCCATATACAGCAGAGGTCAAAAACTTTTTCTTCAAGGGCCAAATAATAAATATATTTGACTTTGTAGGCCATACGTTCTTTGTTGCAACTAGTCTGCTATTGTGCAAAAGCAGCCACAGACAATGGATAAATGAGTAGGCTTGGCTGTGTTCTAACAAACTTTATTTACAAAAATAAATGTGTAGCTGCATTTGGCTTGCAAGTCTTACTTAGCGGACTTCTGATATATAGGAGAAAAAAAAAAAATCATTTTTTTTTTTTTTCTTTTCTGGGTGTGTCCAGAAGGCAAAAGTTGGGTCAATGTATAGAAATCACAGAAAAGTAGATTTGTGCTAATTTTAAGGAAAACCTTTCTAATGGTGACTACCATTCCCAAGTAGAATGAGATGTTTCACGAGGCAGTGAGTGGGTTGCTCATTGTAAGGGTTTAAAAGAAAGGCTAAGTGTTGGAGAATAATTTTCTGCAAAGCACAAGTAGTAAGTCAGATGATGTGGGAGGCAACAGTGCCTCATATTCATATATACTCAGCATAGTACTGCCCACATAGTAGCTCCTCTAGATTTTATGTCCCTAGAGGAGAGAGACTCTGTCATTCCCATCCTCGCATCTTGAAATCCTAGTATAGTGTTTTAAACATGGCAGTTGTGACTGATACATGTTTTGTCAACTTGGCTCTGTAAGTAAAATCCTGCTGACAGATGAATGAAACTAATTTGTCTTTAGTACAGTCATCACTACGAGTCGTATTAAATTAGTTCAGTTATCTTTAATAAGCTTCAACATTTGAGGATTTTCACTGAAAAGAATGGATGTAACAGTCAACATTTATCGAGTTCTGAAAATATGCCAACTACTGTGCTAAGAACTTTAATAGGCATTCTCTTATTTAATTATCCCCCCAAACCTATGAGGGAGGTATCACCGCCATCCTATTTTACTGATGAAGAAACTGAAATTCAGAGAAGTCTCATAGCTGGGAAGTGGCATCACCAAAACAGGAATCTCTTTGATGCCTAAGGCTGTGGTCCAACCACAACTCCATCCTGCTTCTCATTCATTCATTCATTCATTCATCCACCCCTTCATGCATTCATTATTTAACAAACATTGATTGGTTGCCTGTTATTTGCCAAGTACTGTTTCTTAGGTTCTGAAGACAGAGCTGTGAATATAAACAGATCAAGTCCATGCTCTGAAGGAACTTACATTCTGGCTGGGATTATAGCAGGGGTAGATGTACTATTAAATGAGAAGATATGAAATGGTAATTCATCAGAAGACACAGAGATTAAAAAGATAATAAATAAGTCTTGTCCATACCAGAACTTCAGGGATAATCCCCTATTGGTGAATTTACCAAAGCTCTTTCTTGTTTACTGACATTACCCCAAGTTCAGTCTTTAGTGTTGATAAATTGTCAGACACACTCAGAGATTAAGAAGGAAGCTTCAAGCATTCTGGAAAATGATGTAGATCATATATGGCAATGTATACATGTATGTGTGATATGTGTATGAAGTCCCCAAAGGGAAAAAACCCAATAAAGTATTCAAGAATCATACTTCATGGGCAGGTCGAATCTGAGCACCATTAAAATGGGAGACCAGAGGCAACAGATGGAAAGGGGTGGAAAAAGCTAGTCCAGTTAAAACAAAAATAAAGAAGAGGGGTGCTTGGGGGGCTCAGTCATTGAGCATCTGCCTTCGGCTCAGGTCATGATCCCAGGGTCCTGGGATCGAGCCCCATATCGGGCTCCCTGCTCTGCAGGAAGCCTGCTTCTCCCTCTCCCACTCCCCCTGCTTGTGTTCTCTCTCTCTGTGTCTTTCTCTGTCAAATAAATAAATAAAATCTTAAAAAAAAAACCCATTTAAAAAAATAAAGAAGAAAGATAATCCAGTTAAAAATGGGCAGAAGACATGAATAAATATTTTCCCAAAGAAGACATACAGATGGCCAACAGACCCATGAAAAGATGCTCCATATCACTCATCACTGGGGAAATGTAAATCAAAACTGCAATGAGATATCTATCACCTCCCACCTGTCAGAATGGTTAAAATAAACAACACAAGAAACAATGCAAACTGGTGCAGCCACTCTGGAGAACAGTATGGAGATTCCTTATAAAGTTAAAAATAGAACTACCCTACAATCCAGCAATTGCATTTCTAGGTATTTACCCAAAGAATACAGAAATACTAAATCGAAGGGATACATGCACCCCAATGTTTATAGCAGCATTATCTACAACAGCTAAATTATGGAAAGAGCCGAAATGTCCATCGACTGATGAATGGATAAAGAAGATGTGGTGTATATATATATAATGGAATATTACTAGCTATAAAAAAGAATGAAATCTTGCCATTTGCAATGCAACAATGTGGATGGAGCTAGAGTGTATTACGCTAAGCAAAGTAAGTCAGTCAGAGAAAAACAAATACCATATGATTTCACTCATGTGTGGCATTTAAGAAAAAACAAGT